CAAATCAATCCCAGAACAACAGCAAAGGACCTTGTGAAGATGCTGGAGGAAACAGGTACAAAAGTATCTATATCCACAGTAAAACGAGTCCTATATCGACATAACCTGAAAGGCCGCTCAGCAAGGAAGAAGCCACTGCTCCAAAACCGCCATAAAAAAGCCAGACTACGATTTGCAACTGCACATGGGGACAAAGATCGTACTTTTTGGAGAAATGTCCTCTGGTCTGATGAAACAAAAATAGAACTGTTTGGCCATAATGACCATTGTTATGTTTGGAGGAAAAAGGGGTCTCTTGCAAGCCGAAGAACAGCATCCCAACCGTGAAGCACAGGGGTGGCAGCATCATGCTGTGGGGGTGCTTTGCTGCAGGAGGGACTGGTGCACTTCACAAAATAGATGGCATCATCAGGAAGGAAAGTTATGTGGATATATTGAAGCAACATCTCAAGACATCAGTCAGGAAGTTAAAGCTTGGTCGCAAATGGGTCTTCCAAATGGACAATGACCCCAAGCATACTTCCAAAGTTGTGACAAAATGGCTTAAGGACAACAAAGTCAAGGTATTGGAGTGGCCATCACAAAGCCCTGACCTCATCCTATAGAACATTTGTGGGCAGAACTGAAAAAGCGTGTACGAGCAAGGAGGCCTTATTTACCTAAGTATTCAGACCCTCTGCTATGAGACTCGAAATTGAGCTCAGGTGCATCCTGTTTCCATTGATCATCCTTGAAATGTTTCTACAACTTGATTGGAGTCCACCTGTGGTAAATTAAATAGATTGGTCATGATTTGGAAAGGCACACATATAAGGTCTTTATAAGGTGCCACAGTTGACAGTGCATGTCAGAGCAAAAACCAAGCCATGAGGTCGAAGGAATTGTCCGTAGAGCTCCGATGGTGTCGAGGCACAGATCTGGGAAAGTGTAACAAAACATTTCTGCAGCATTGAAGGTCCCCAAGGACACAGTGGCCTCCATCATTCTTAAATGGAAGAAGTTTGAAACCACCAAGACTCTTCCTAGAGCTGGCCGCCCGGCCAAACTGAGCAATCGGGGGAGAAGGTGCACTTGCACTTGTTTGGGGAACAGGATTTCATTATTTTTATCTACATTTCTGCCTGAGAAATGACACCCTGATATAGTTCTGTGATCTGTGATATACTTCTGTGAATCACTGAGGCATTGTGTGTTTGTGTGTTCTTTGTCCTCAGAACTTTCAAATAACTTGAGGTGTTTTATGATTAATAGTGATGTTGTGCTTTTGGACACTGTCCTCAGGCTCCAGCTTTATGTTTATATGTTTTTATGTTGATGTGCTATTGTTTTTAATTGTTTTTATTTTATTTGTATATTTAACCTATTCTTGACTCTGTGGTTCTTGCACTTGTTTGGGGAACAGGATTTCATTATTTTTATCTACATTTCTGCCTGAGAAATGACACCCTGATATAGTTCTGTGGTCTGTGAAACAGTTATGTTAATCACTGAGGCATTGTGTGTTTGTGTGTTCTTTTTCTTTAGAATTTTCAAATAAACTTGACGTGTTTTATGATTAATAGTGATGTTGTGCTTGTACTATTTTGGACACACTGTCCTCAGGCTCCAGCTTTATGTTGTATGTTGATCGTATTAAAACAAAGAAAACAATCTGAAGTTGTTGTTTTTAAGTTATATATACCATGATTTTTCCGGTCTGGCCCACTTGGGAATAGATTTTTCTCCATGTGGCCCCTGAGCTAAAATGAGTTTGACACCCCTGTTGTAGAGCATGAACCTACAGGATCGGGTCACCGCCTTGATGTTAGCGGAGAATGACAGGGTGTTGTCCAGGGTCACGCCAAGGCTCTTTGCACTCTGGGAGGAGGACACACGGAGTTGTCAACCGTGATGGCGAGATCATGGAACGGGCAGTCCTTCCCCGGGAGGAAGAGCAGCTCCGTCTTGCCGAGGTTCAGCTTGAGGTGGTGATCCGTCATCCATACTGATATGTCTGCCAGACATGCAGAGATGCGATTCGCCACCTGGTTGTCAGAAGGGGGAAAGGTGAAGATTAGTTGTGTGTCGTCTGCGTAGCAATGATAGGAGAGGCCATGTGAGGATATGACAGAGCCAAGTGACTTGGTGTATAGCGAGAATAGGAGAGGGCCTAGAACTGAGCCCTGGGGGACACCAGTGGTGAGAGCACGTGGTGAGGAGACAGATTCTCGCCACGCCACTTGGTAGGAGCAACCTGTCAGGTAGGACGCAATCCAAGAGTGAGCCGCGCCGGAGATTCCCAACTCGGAGAGGGTGGAGAGGAGGATCTGATGGTTCACAGTATCAAAGGCAAGAGACAGGTCAAAAGCAGTGCGGAGAGCCTCCGTGACACAGAGAAGAGCAGTCTCAGTTGAATGACCAGTCTTGAAACCTGACTGGTTTGGATCAAGAAGGTCATTCTGAGAGAGATAGCAAGAGAGTTGGCTAAAGACGGCACGCTCAAGAGTTTTGGAGAGAAAAGAAAGAAGGGATACTGGTCTGTAGTTGTTGACATCAGAGGGATCAGGTGTGCCAAGGTTGTAGCTTCATACCCAAGAAGACTCAAAGCTGTAATCGCTGCCAAAGGTGCTTCAACAAAATACTGAGTAAAGGGTCTGAATACTGATGTGATATTTCTATTTTTTTATTTTTATTATAAATTAGCAAAAATGTATAACAACCTGTTTTTGCTTTGTCATTATGGGGTATTGTGTGTAGATTGATGAGGGGAAAAAAGTAATCTGTTTTAGAATAAGGCTGTAATGTAACAAAATGTGGAAAAAGTCAAAGGGTCTGAATACTTTCCGAAGGCACTGTACACCTACATCATGGAAATCAAGTGCTGTTGTATGTGAAACTGCATGATTCAGATTGCACAGGGCATTTTGATGAGCCTGACTTGACAACTATCAGTATAATGTATAAAATTGATGTCAAATTTAGGAAACATTTTAATAATACAATTTACATAAGGCGGCAGTCTAGTGCGAATGTCTAGCAACCCAAAGGTTGCGTATTTGAAACACATCATGAACAACTTTAGCATTTTAGCTACTTTACTAACTTTTTAGCTAATTTTCAACTACTTAGCATGTTAGCTAATCCTTCCCCTAACCTTAACTATTTTAGCTAATCCTTCCCCTAACCTTAACTATTTTAGCTAATCCTTCCCCTAACCTTAACTATTTTAGCTAACCCTTCCCCTAACCTTAACTATTTTAGCTAATCCTTCCCCTAACCTTAACTATTTTAGCTAACCCTTCCCTTAACCTTAACTATTTTAGCTAATCCTTCCCCTAACCTTAACTATTTTAGCTAATCCTTCCCCTAACCTTAACTATTTTAGCTAACCTTCCCCTAACCTTAACTATTTTAGCTAACCCTTCCCCCCCCTTATATTTTAGCTATCCTTCCCTAACCTTACTATTTTAGCTAACCCTTCCCCTAACCTTAACTATTTTAGCTAATCCTTCCCCTAACCTTAACTATTTTAGCTAACCCTTCCCCTAACCTTAACTATTTTAGCTAATCCTTCCCCTAACCTTAACTATTTTAGCTAACCCTTCTCCAAACCCTAACCCATAGAGCTGGCTACCTAGCCAGCTAGATCAGTGCTTTCCAACCAGGGGTACTAGGACCCCAGGGGGTACTTGGTCTATCCACAGGGGGTACTAGGACCCCAGGGGGTACTTGGTCTATCCACAGGGGGTACTAGGACCCCAGGGGGTACTTGGTCTATCCACAGGGGGTACTAGGACCCCAGGGGGTACTTGGTCTATCCACAGGGGGTACTAGGACCCCAGGGGGTACTTGGTCTATCCACAGGGGGTACTTCAGAAGACTCATGAGATCATAGGCATACTGGTAAAATGCACATGGGGAGTACTTCAGGGGTACTCTGGGCAGAGCAAAATTCAGTTGGTGGTGCAGTAAGGGGAAAAATGAAACGTAACATATACTAAATGGAAACGGAGCGTCTCGGATTTACCTCCAGAATAATACGACATGCTCTGAGATCACGTTGAGGGAGGGATTCCCTTGTGGGAAAGACACTTTTATTTTGTGGAAAGCACCACCACCACCACCACCACTACTGCTGTTGCCACGCGTCGGACGCAGGTACATAGAAACATTATCAATTGTAACCATGTGCCAGTTTTTTTATATTAAGTGGCAAGCTAGGTCTCTAAAAATTCGTTGAAATGTTATTCCGAGGTTGTTGGCTCTAGCTGATTTTTGGGGCAGTCGTCCTGAGCATGTGAAGGTTGTCCATATTTCACAGCTAGCTAACGTTAGCTAGCTCGTTGCTAGGCACTTTATGCCGTGCTTCAGGAATCCATTTGAGCTTGACTTGATTTGAAATTATAGTCATCTAACGTTACCAATATTACCTATTCCATTGGAATTGAATCTGAATCATGAATTTAATCTACCGGTAGCTAACGCTAGCAAGTATTTGACAGCAAATGACGGCTTGCTAACGTCAGCTAGCTTCATATTGAAACCACATGGCTGCCTACCGGCTCGCTAACGTTAGCTGGCGACCGGCTATTTCACCTTACTGTACCGTCACCGTGCAATTAAAAGTGCTGATACATCCGGTCGATGGTGTCTAAAACCTATTTTAGCCGTGATACTTGCAAACTGGCTAGTGTATTGTTAAGCTAATGTTACCGGTGCTAACTAACTTTTATCTGCTTACATTGATTGTCAAGCATCTTTAGCCACTTACTACCTAGCTAGCATGTTGGCTAATTTACCAAGCTAACTGTGAACTAGAATTGCTTGCAACTTATCTAGCCAGCAGTTATGCCACGTTGTCTGGATTTATAGATTCATGTTGTCACTTAATCAGACCACTTGTTTCAACTTTCATTATTCTGGTTTTTAATTTCATAAATGGATTTTGTTTTGTTTCAGTGGCACGGTGATCCCCTGATGTCAGCCAAAGTCCATGCCAGGAGGGTGTGAGATGGCACTTGATGGCCTCCAATGGAGCTGAAGACAAGTTGAATACAAGGGCCTCCTGCTCCCGGTCATCAACCTTCACTATTCGAGCCAAGTCAGCAGTGTTTCATACTGCTAACAGTCACACTACTCCCCTCAGGCCCAGAGAGAAGAAGCCCCTCCAGTCCTCTGCCAGTGTCCCCCGGGTCGCCAGGGACTCTATAGGTCAGCTGAATGACAGGGTGAATCAGACTCAGAAGAACCAGCTCCAATGTGCCTACAACCGTTCTGTGCCTACAACCACTAACCTAGGTGACAAGCCACAGCGTCCTGGTAGCGCGGGTGCTAATTTAGCTAATGGTCATAGTAATGGTCGCTGTCAACCAACTGTTCTCTCTAAGAGTACACAGCTGTCCGGTGCAGCCGTTATCTCATACAGACATAACGCTGGTGTGTTGGAGCCAACCGTGAAAAGCTATCGACCCAGCTGGAACTTGGACTCACTGAAGTTAAGATCACGGATCCTGGCCCGCAAAAGAGCCTTGTCACCCCAGCCTGATCCCTACCCAACGTGTCCCTCTCCACCAAAGGCAGAACGTGTCCCAGACTCGCAGAACAACGCAGCGCCCCAGCCTGCTCCCTACCCAACGTGTCCCTCTCCACCAAAGGCAGAACGTGTCCCAGACTCGCAGAACAACGCAGCGTCACAGCCTGCTGAAAGCACCACCAGCAGCAGCATGCCCACCAACCAGTCAGTCCCCTGGACCAGTGGCAAACTGAGAGACAATAGCAAAGGGGTTATGAGGCCCACTACGGGTAAAGTGCCTTCCCGTCCCAGACAGGAGACTACCCAGACAAGAGACTCAGCAAAACCTTTGTCCCCCCTGACCCAGTCAGCCTCCTATTGCCGAGGGGGGGGCACACTCCACCCCCCCAACACTGTGCCTTTGCGGGATAGGTCATCCCACCACCAGGATGTGGATCAGATATGGAGGCTCCAGGACCCGCGTCAGTTTGAGAGCCTGATGGCAGCAGACATGGAGGGTCACCCCCAGGAGATGGGGTGTTGTGCTGCTGGCCATGGGGCTCCTGCTGGCCATGGGGCTCCTGCTGGCCATGGGTCTCCTGGAGCTCCTCATAACACATCAACAGAGACGGTCAGGAAGGTCAGCTCTGAGGTGGAGTTTACTGAGGCGGTGAGGAAGCTGACACAGTCACGGAGCGCGTTCACCCCTCATCCCAGGAACGGGACTGTTAACGGTGTAACTACTGGAATACCAGGGTCCAGCGTGGATCCAGTCAAGATGGGCAAAGCCATGACTACTATCCCTGTCAGCCACAGGCCTGCTCCAGCCAAACCCTCTGTACCACTCTGCCTTACTAAGAGAGGCCAGGAGACGGAGCCCTCAGTCTCTCCTGTGTCCATGGAGACCTCCAGTGCCTGCAGCCTCGACAGCAACACCACAACAAACAGTGGTAGCACAACAGCCTCCATGGCACCTCTACCCCATGCAGGGATAACTCCAACCCAGTCCCCTACCCAGGCCAGTGCCACAGCTTGTTCCAGTGCAGGGATAACTCTAACCCAGTCCCCTACCCATGCCAGTGCCACAGTTTGTTCCAGTACAGGGATAACTCTAACCCAGTCCCCTACCCATGCCAGTGCCACAGTTTGTTCCAGTACAGGGATAACTCTAACCCAGTCCCCTACCCAGGCCAGTGCCACAGCTTGTTCTAGTGCTAGTTCCATCCCAGAGAACACTGAGACAGGTTCTGAGTCCGCCTCAGGTTCTCCTCAGAGTCAGAGGCCTTCTGTCACCTCGGTGACCACCCAGATATCAGCCATACACCTGACCAAGGAGAGGAGTGTCCTGTCTCTACAGGGGGGCCACAGCCACAGCCCCTCCCAGTCCCCACCTGACCTGGAGAGGAGTGTCCTGTCTCTACAGGGGGGCCACAGCCACAGCCCCTCCCAGTCCCCACCTGTCCTGGAGGAAGAACCTCAGCTCTCCGGGTCAGTTCTGTTCTCCCACATACTACTAGCTATTGTTAGACTAGATGGTACAGCAAGTTTTTGAGTGCTGGAATGGGACTATATAAATCCATTCCATAATTTTTTATTAAGTAGATCAGTACTAAATGTATTGTCACATGAATTTGATGGAGGTCAACGTGGGTCGATAGGAGGAATTAAGCTCTGTTGTGTTAACTAGCTTGAGTATAGGTGTCTCGAGAGTATGTTTGTCTAGGGAACTCAGTGAGTCATAGTAAAAAGATTCACCCAATAACCTATCAAGCGTCTTGCTTCGTTTTCTTTGAGTTTCCTGTCTGTTCATACAGTCCACAGAGTGTTGCCATGCAGGGGGATGGAGCATACAGTCCACAGAGTGTTGCCATGCAGGGGGATGGAGCATACAGTCCACAGAGTGTTGCCATGCAGGAGGATGGAGCATACAGTCCACAGAGTGTTGCCATGCAGGAGGATGGAGCATACAGTCCACAGAGTGTTGCCATGCAGGGGGATGGAACCAGGGGGAAGAGGACTATCCTGATAACGAGCTGGAGAATGACTGCAGTGGTGATGGTGATGAGGAGGAAGACTCCTTTTTAACTATTCATTTCAACCCTTAATCAACTAGACGTGTGAAAAATGACACCACTTAATTGGACGGCTGTAGCTAGGCTAACATAATGAATCCATCCTGTTTCTCCTCAGAAGGGTCTGACTGCTCCTCTATGAATGATGCCTGGTCCACAGCCTCCATGCCCGTCCTGCCAAAGTAAATTTAATCGTTTTTCTGTGTGATGAAATGTCGATTCATCGATGACGTTGTTGGAATGCTTTGTGCGTTTTGAAGATATTAATTATTATCCTATTGAAATGGACTCTTGGTTGAAATGTGGGGCGGCAGGTAGCTTAGTGGTTAAGAGCGTTGGGCCAGTAACCGAAAGGTCGCTGGTTCTAATCCCCGAGCCGACTAGATGTTAAATGATTAATCGTTGACGTTGTTGGAATGATTTGTGCGTTTTGAAGATTGATTGAAAGAAAAAAGCCATGTCATTGCTATTCTATGATTTGTGTTCTTACATATTTTGACAATGATGCCAATTCAACTGTATTTTGGTAACTTACCAGACCACAAGTTCACCCGGGGTCATAACAGAAATCTGAAATGGTCAGGAGAGTAACCTATATCCCCAGTCATGGTTTCAGACCATCAAATTAAATTGTATTTGTCACAAATGCGCCGAATACAACAGGTGTAGACCTTACCGTGAAACGCTCACTTACAGGCTCTTAACCAACTATGCAGTTCAATAAATAAAGTAAAGAAAATATTTACTAAATAAAATAAAGTAAAAAATAAAATAAAATTAAAAAGTAACACAATAAAATAACAATAACGAGGCTATATACAGGGGGTACCGGTACCGAGTCAATGTGCGGGGGTACAGGTTAGTCGAGGTAATTTGTACATGTAGGTAGGGGTAAAGTGACTATGCATAGATAATAGACAGCGAGTAGCAGCAGTGTAAATAGTCTGGGTGGCCATTTGATGAATTGTTCAGCAGTCTTATGGCTTGGGGGTAGAAGCTGTTAAGGAGCCTTTTGGACCCAGACTTGGCGCTCCGGTACCGCTTCCCGTGCGGTAGCAGAGAGAGCAGTCTATGACTTGGGTGGCTGGAGTCTTTGACAATCATCTAGGTGTCATTGAGTTTAACAGAAGGTTCAGTTCTTTATAGTCTATAATTTATAGATAATGATGTTTACAATACCAGGAAGTCATGTTGTTAATCTGTACACTTGACACAGAGTAACCTCTTGACTAAAAACACAAATGATTTGAGAGAAATGCCCATTTATTAATCTGTGAAGACCGTAGTGTCATGTTTCATCCTATTGCGGCTAGATCTCTGTAGAATGACCATTCATAACTCCTATAACCCTCCCAGTCGGGGCACCTGACAGTTCCCCGGTACGGTGATGACAAAAACCCAAGAGAGAATTGAAGCTTTTTTTTTTTTTGTTCTAGTGGTTGCTGCCGGTGAAAGGTTGAAAGCACAGAGGCTAGTGGAAAGGTCTCCCAATTGTCAATCAGTGATAAAAGTGGAACTATCTTTCAATAATGGGGACATGAGTCTCTGTGGTGTAATAGTGCTTGGCCTGTGGGATCATTGTCAGCCCATGACGTCCCCAGCTGATATGTTGATTAGCGTTAGGCCCTTTTCTGTTTTCGTCACAGCAAAAGCCCATGTAGAGTAGAGCTGTTACCCCCAAGCCAATGCCATCCACTCACTCTCAGTAGAGTCAGGCTATTTTCGAAGCAGGAGGACCAAGCAGGAAAACAGCATCCTAAATGACTGTCACGTGAGTTTTTTTATTTTTGGTTAAATTCTTTGCCCAGATAATTCCTTTTTTTTTTTATTGATTGATCTTGCGGGCGTTTTGGTTTGGTTAGAAACTACTTTTAATTCAAAATGTCTCCTGCCTTTCCAAAGACATGGCCGACCGTGCCTCTGAGTTAAACAGTGGTATTTAGATGTGAATGATCCTGCTAGGTGCCAGCTAGCGTTATTGTTTCGTTCCACTGGACACTGATGACCAGGCAGTAAGCATGGCACCGTGGCTCAATGGAAATTAACAGTTGGAAGGGAAGAAATCTCTTTCCAAACTCGTCAGGAATTGTATATTCCATGTTAAACGAGTGTCTTTATAGTCTGTGTGTCTGTTTGATAACGTTCCCAGTATTCCCACTGTTTGCAGATTTAGTACAACGTCATGGCTCTAATGCTACGGTGTGTGTTCCAGCATAGCGGATGAGGGGGAGCTGATGAGCTCTGAATCGGAGGATGAGGGGGAGCTGAAGCCAGCTCTCGTCCCCAGCATGTTCCCCTTCCTCCCTCCAACGCTGTACTTCAGCACTGCCAACCAGAGAGGTAAGACACCCCTTCACTGCCTTTATTTTACATTTTAGTCATTTAGCAGACGCTCTTATCCAGAGCGACTTACAGGAGCAATTAGGGTTAAGTGCCTTGCTCAAGGGCACATCGACAGATTTTTCACCTAGTCGGCTCGGGGATTAGAACCAGCGACCTTTCGGTTACTGGCACAACGCTCTTAACCACTAAGCCACCTGCCGCTCCGTTTATAATGGTAGACTGCTTTAAGGGTGTATCCCAAATGGTTCCCTATGTAGTGTGGTACTTTTGACCAGGGCTCATAGGGTGTCATTTGGGAAACAGCTAATAAGCTGCTTGACAATGTTAAACTGCTTGACAATGTTAAACTGCTTTAGATTTTTTTTTTTGGGGGGAAAAGAAGCTTCTACAGAAAAAATATTCCCTTCCAATTTTATCCAAGTATGAGCTGATCTAAGATGTTTTGTTTGCTGTTACTTGGGGTTGGGATTAGGGTTTTGGACAAATATTGTTATATGGTTATATCAAAATATTCTACAGGACATTGTGTGGGAGCTTATTAGATAGAGCTTGAGTAAAGTTTAGTCCCCCCCCCCCTCCCCCCCAGTAGAGAGACTGCTGCCTCTAGTCCAGGGGTGTCAAACGTCCGGCCCGCGGGCCGGATCAGGCCCTCAAACGGGTTTAATCCGGCCTGCGAGATGATAAAAAATAAAAAGAATAATAATAATAATAATTTTGTAAAGTATAAAAATGCGCTGCAATTTTTCAATAAAATAAACTGCTGTTCCAATTGCGTCCACTGGATGGCGCAATAGCAATTGTGTTAAGCAAGCAAACTGTTTATACCAGGGCAGAGCAAGTAGGTCAAGCACGTGCAGCCAATGAGCTACTTTGTTTTGCCCGCGATATTTATTACGGCTTCTACTTTTAACATTATGTGCTTTGGCACCCTCATTGCCCCAATATGTCTCTGTCAAAAAAGAGAAAAGTGGACGCAGAGTGCAGAGTGTTCCAAGAAAAATGGTCATCCTATTTATTCATGGAATTGAATGGGAAAGCTGTATGTTTGGTGTGTTCAGAGCATGTTGCAGTGCTGAAAGAATATAACCTTCGTCGCCACTATGTGAGTCTTCATGCCGACAAATATGACAACTTTCAAGGACAGCGGAGATGAGAGAAGGTGAATGAACTGTTGGCGGGTCTGAAGAAACAGCAGTCTGTGTTTACTCACAGCCGAGACATCAGTGACGCTGCAGTGAAAGCTAGCTACCTCATTGCTAATGAAATCGCAGTGGCTTCAAAACCATTTAGTGAGGGTGAATTTGTAAAAACATGCATGATGAAGGCAGCGGAGATTGTGTGCCCTGAAAAGCGGCAGGCTTTTGCAAATATCAGCCTGACAAGAAACACAGTTGCAGACAGGATTTCCGATCTTTCAGGGGATTTGGACAGCCAGTTGAAGCAAAAAGTAAAGTCATTTATTGCGTTTTCGGGTTTCAATTGATGAAAGCACGGACATTACAGATGTTGCACAACTGGCCATTTTCATCCGCGGAGTTGATGACACATTGACCGTCACCGAGGAGTTCGTGGAGTTGGTGCCGATGACAGATACAACGACAGCAGCTGATATTTTTACCGCACTCGTCGGCGCGCTGGACAGGGTCGGAGTGGACTGGTCCCGCGCTGTCAGCCTGGCTACAGATGGTGCGCCCTCAATGATCGGGAAAAAAGCAGGCGTTGTGACAAAGTTCAGAGAGAAAGTGCAATCTGCAAATGGAGGACGTGATTTTTTGACTTTTCACTCTATTTTTCACCAGGAGGCTTTGTGTTGCAAGTCATTAAAGATGGATAACGTCATGAAGGTGGTCATCCAAACTGTTAATTTCATCCGATCCAGAAGCCTGAATCACCGCCAGTTTGACAGCCTTCTCAGAGAGAAAGACTACATCTATGGCCTGCCATACCACACTGAGGTAAAATGGTTAAGCCGAGGTGCTGTGCTGAGGCGTTTCTTTGATTTACGAGAAGAAATTGAACAGTTCATGGAAGAAAAGGGCAAACCAGTGTTAGAATTTCATTCTGCAGATTGGATGCAGGACCTTGCATTTATGGTGGATGTTACAGAGCACCTGAATAACTTGAACAAACAGCTGCAAGGGCGCTACAAAGTTGTCACGCAGTATTATGACAGCATACGTTCTTTCAAGTTGAAGCTGTCATTGTGGGAGACGCAACTTGCCGGTGGTGATGCAGCTCACTTCCACTGTCTGAAAAATGTGTGCGCGACCCAACATGTGGCAGACATGAAGCGGTTCAAAGATAAAATAACGGGACTGTTACGGGAGTTTGAGCAACGCTTTCAGATTTATGTTTTTATGTTGATGTGCTATTGTTTTTTAATTGATTTTATTTTATTTGTATATTTAACCTATTCTTGACTCTGTGGTTCTTGCACTTGTTTGGGGAACAGGATTTCATTATTTTTTATCTACATTTCTGCCTGAGTAATGACACCCTGATATAGTTCTGTGATCTGTGAAACAGTTATGTTAATCACTGAGGCATTGTGTGTTTGTGTGTTCTTTTTCTTTAGAATTTTCAAATAAACTTGACGTGTTTTATGATTAATAGTGATGTTGTGCTTGTACTATTTTGGACACACTGTCCTCAGGCTCCAGCTTTATGTTGTATGTTGATCGTATTAAAACAAAGAAAACAATCTGAAGTTGTTGTTTTTAAGTTATATATACCATGATTTTTCCGGTCCGGCCCACTTGGGAATAGATTTTCCTCCATGTGGCCCCTGAGCTAAAATGAGTTTGACACCCCTGCTCTAGTCCTATAGCTCTATTGTACATAAGCTGAATCCAAAATGACACCCTTCTCCCTTTTTTATAGTGCACTACTTTTGACCAGGGTCCGTAGGGAATAGGATTCCGTTGGGACCCATCCATAGACCTATTCCTGTAGCTGTGTGTTGTGTGTTTCAGTGGAGCCCCTGCCACCGGAGCAGAGGAAGCTGCTCAAATGGAAGATGAGCACTGTGACGCCCGCCGTGGTCAAGCACACCATCGCCAGGTCACACTTCAAAGTCACCAAGAGTGAGTTCCTTAGGGGTTGAAATCCCTCCCTCTTGCCTAATTTACATGTTTAAAGACCTCTTGAATGTCTGTTCACATTTGTGTAAAACATTAATGAAGTTATTGTTGTTGCAGAAAGTCATGATTGGCTTGGCTGCTGGGGTCACCATATGAAGTCTCCTGGATTCAAGGCCATCAGGGAATACCAGAAGGTAAGCTAGGTAGGGCTGGGAACAGGGTTGGTAATTAACATCTGCCACCCGACAAATACGGGTAGATTTTGTCATTGGCGGTTAGGAATGTCTATTCCACCTGCCACGTTGGCGGGTTGTCATTCAGAGAGCAATGGGGATTTTTTTATTTTTTTATTTTTATTTTCCAAAGGCCTCATGTCGAAGTTTGTGGAATTGATAAGAGAGGCTGCTATGGTGTGATTTTTGTCCTCGTGTTTCTTTGCTAGTTACATCGTTTTGTTCACACGCCAGGTTGTTTTTCATTGTTAGTTTGAGTTTGCTGTAGCTGATTGCTGCTAGGAGGACATCGCCTGAGATGGTTTTCATTGTTAGTTTGAGTTTGCTGTAGCTGTCTGCTGCTAGGAGGTCATCGCCTGAGATGTTTTTCATCACAGGCAAGTTGAGTGCCCAAGTTACCACGGTAACGGCCCGTCCCTTAAAGGGGAAGCTGAATATTTTTCTCTCGCCTAATGATTGAGCATGGAACACTCCTAAAAACGTTTTATTCATGAACCTTTTAGTCATTTCTTATCATTAAAACACTCATTGTTCTCCTAGATTTATAAGTGTGCTTCAACATTTTTAATTAGGAGCACGTCACGTTCAACATGTCACAGAGTAGAGCGCTGAACTCTAAGAACAAGTACGCTGTATCAATATGTATTGCTGTTCGATGCTGGGATTTTATTGAGATTCGATATTCCAAACGCATTGCTCACCATACAGTGCATTCGGAAAGTATTCAGACCCCTTGACTTTTTCCACATTTTGTTACGTTACAGCCTTATTCTGAAATTGATTTAAATAGTTGTTTTTCCTCATCAATCTACACACAATAGCCCGTAATTACAAAGTAAAAACAGTTTTGTAGACATTTTTGCAAATGTATGGGGGAAAAACCTGAAAGATCACATTTACATAAGTATTCAGACCCTTTACTCAAATACTTTGTTGAATCACCTTTGGCAGCGATTACAGCCTCGACTCTTCTTGGGTATGACGCTACAAGCTTGGCACACCTGTATTTGGGGAGTTTCTCCCAATTGGCTCCCTATTTAAAAAGAAACTATGAAGGAAGTGGCTCTGGATAAGAGCGTCTGCTAAATGACGTAAATGTAAGGAAAAAATACTGGAGTTTTGGTGCATGTAAAGCCAACTAGCGCAAAAATAATATTGCCATAACGATATATTGTCAAAAATAATATTGCGATATGTAACTATCAATTGTTTGTTTATTTTTCCCATTAGTAAAGGTAGGCAGGAATGGGCTGAAGCTAGCCTGATCCCAGATCATTTTGTGCCATCTTGCCAACTCCTTTGGTCATTGTCACACCTCAGGGATCTGGGACCAGACAAACGCACCAGCCAAACAAGAATAATATTGATTCAATCGGTATGGATCTTTCATTTCTTTCAACCTTCGTTTTGATCTGCATATTGACTCGTCTCTCTGCGTTCTTTCTAGTTGAACCACTTCCCCGGTTCGTTCCAGATAGGTCGTAAGGACCGTCTGTGGAGGAACCTGTCGAAGATGCAGGCTCAGTTTGGGAAGAGGGAGTTCAGCTTCTTCCCCCGCTCCTTCGTTCTCCCTCAGGACATCAAGCTGCTGAGGAAGGCCTGGGAGGACAGTGGTAGCAGGCAGAAATGGATCATCAAGCCGGTAGGTGGATCCTATATCTAAATCCGTTTTGGGCTATTTTTGAAATGGCTTCCGTTCCCTAGTGACGGTGCATTTCTCCTGGGTTTGGATCTTTTGTCTAACGATGCGTCCGAAATGACACTTCCCTATACAGTGCACTATAGCGAACTACTTTTGGCTCTAGGGAATAATGTCATAACCTTGGTGTTTCTTCTGACGTGGATGCATTGTGATGTGTATTAGTACTGGCTGTATAGGGGATGTGTATTAGTACTGGCTGTATAGGGGATGTGTATTAGTACTGGCTGTGTAGTGGATGTGTATTAGTACTGGCTGTATATTGGATGTAGTGGATGTGTATTAGTACTGGCTGTATAGGGGATGTAGTGGATGTGTATTAGTACTGGCTGTATATTGGATGTGTATTAGTACTGGCTGTATAGTGGATGTGTATTAGTACTGGCTGTATAGGGGATGTGTATTAGTACTGGCTGTGTAGGGGATGTGTATTAGTAGTGGATGTGTATTAGTACTGGCTGTATAGTGGATGTAGTGGATGTGTATTAGTACTGGCTGTATAGGGGATGTAGTGGATGTGTATTAGTACTGGCTGTATATTGGATGTGTATTAGTACTGGCTGTATAGTGGATGTGTATTAGTACTGGCTGTATAGGGGATGTGTATTAGTACTGGCTGTGTAGGGGATGTGTATTAGTACTGGCTGTATAGGGGATGTAGTGGATGTGTATTAGTACTGGCTGTGTAGTGGATGTGTATTAGTACTGGCTGTGTAGTGGATGTGTATTAGTACTGGCTGTGTAGTGGATGTGTATTAGTACTGGCTGTGTAGTGGATGTGTATTAGTACTGGCTGTGTAGTGGATGTGTATTAGTACTGGCTGTATAGGGGATGTAGTGGATGTGTATTAGTACTGGCTGTATATGGGATGTAGTGGATGTGTATTAGTACTGGCTGTATAGGGGATGTAGTGGATTTGTATTAGTACTGACTGTATATGGGATGTAGTGGATGTGTATTAGTACTGGCTGTATAGGGGATGTAGTGGATTTGTATTAGTACTGACTGTATAGGGGATGTAGTGGATGTGTATTAGTACTGGCTGTATAGTGGATGTGTATTAGTACTGGCTGTATAGGGGATGTGTATTAGTACTGGCTGTATAGTGGATGTAGTGGATGTGTATTAGTACTGACTGTATAGTGGATGTATATTAGTACTGGCTGTATAGGGGATGTAGTGGATGTGTATTAGTACTGACTGTATAGGGGATGTAGTGGATGTGTATTAGTACTGGGTCTATAGGGGATGTGTATTAGTACTGGCTGTATAGTGGATGTAGTGGATGTGTATTAGTACTGACTGTATAGTGGATGTGTATTAGTACTGACTGTATAGGGGATGTAGTGGATGTGTATTAGTACTGGCTGTATAGGGGATGTAGTGGATGTGTATTAGTACTGGCTGTATAGGGAATGTAGTGGATGTGTATTAGTACTGGGTCTATAGGGGATGTGTATTAGTACTGGCTGTATAGGGGATGTAGTGGATGTGTATTAGTACTGGCTGTATAGGGAATGTAGTGGATGTGTATTAGTACTGGGTCTATAGGGGATGTAGTGGATGTGTATTAGTACTGGCTGTGTAGTGGATGTGTATTAGTACTGACTGTATAGGAGATGTGTATTAGGACTGGCTGTATAGGGGATGTGTATTAGTACTGACTGTATAGTGGATGTGTATTAGTACTGGCTGTATAGTGGATGTGTGTTAGTACTGGCTGTATAGGGGATGTAGTGGATGTGTATTAGTACTGGCTGTGTAGTGGATGTGTATTAGTACTGGCTGTATAGGTGATGTGTATTAGGACTGGCTGTATAGGGGATGTGTATTAGTACTGACTGTATATTGGATGTGTATTAGTACCGGCTGTGTAGTTGATGTGTATTAGTACTGGCTGTATAGTGGATGTCTATTAGTACTGGCTGTGTAGTGGATGTGTATTAGGGCTGGCTGTATAGTGGATGTCTATTAGTACTGGCTGTATAGGGGATGTGTATTAGTACTGGCTGTATAGGGGATGTAGTGGATGTGTATTAGTACTGGCTGTATAGGAGATGTAGTGGATGTGTATTAGTACTGGCTGTGTAGTGGGTGTGTATTAGTACTGGCTGTATAGGTGATGTAGTGGATGTGTATTAGTACTGGCTGTGTAGTGGATGTGTATTAGTACTGGCTGTATAGTGGATGTGTATTAGTACCGGCTGTGTAGTGGATGTGTATTAGTACTGGCTGTATAGTGGATGTCTATTAGTACTGGCTGTGTAGTGGATGTGTATTAGGACTGGCTGTATAGGTGATGTGTATTAGTACTGGCTGTATAGGTGATGTAGTGGATGTGTATTAGTACTGGCTGTATAGGTGATGTAGTGGATGTGTATTAGTACTGGCTGTATAGTGGATGTGTATTAGTACTGGCTGTATAGGTGATGTAGTGGATGTGTATTAGTACTGGCTGTAGAGGTGATGTAGTGGATGTGTATTAGTACTGGCTGTATAGTGGATGTCTATTAGTACTGGCTGTATAGTGGATGTGTATTAGTACTGGCTGTGTAGTGGATGTGTATTAGTACTGGCTGTATAGTGGATGTGTATTAGTACTGGCTGTATAGTGGATGTGTATTAGTACTGGCTGTGTAGTGGATGTGTATTAGTACTGGCTGTATAGTGGATGTGTATTAGTACTGGCTGTATAGTGGATGTGTATTAGTACTGGCTGTATAGTGGATGTGTATTAGTACTGGCTGTATAGGGGATGTGTATTAGTACTGGCTGTATAGTGGATGTGTATTAGTACTGGCTGTATAGGGGATGTGTATTAGTACTGGCTGTATAGGTGATGTAGTGGATGTGTATTAGTACTGGATGTATAGTGGATGTGTATTAGTACTGGCTGTATAGTGGATGTGTATTAGTATTGGCTGTATAGGGGATGTAGTGGATGTGTATTAGTACTGGCTGTATAGTGGATGTGTATTAGTACTGGCTGTGTAGTGGATGTGTATTAGTACTGGCTGTATAGGGGATGTAGTGGATGTGTATTAGTACTGGCTGTATAGGGGATGTGTATTAGTACTGGCTGTGTAGTGGATGTGTATTAGTACTGGCTGTATAGGGGATGTAGTGGATGTGTATTAGTACTGGCTGTATAGGGGATGTAGTGGATGTGTATTAGTACTGGATGTATAATGAGACAAGCTCTAGTCTAGATACATGTCATGTATTAGTGGATCAAAATAATCCTTATTTCCATCTCTCTCCTGTAGCCTGCGTCTGCTCGGGGGATTGGGATCCAGGTCATTCACAAGTGGAGTCAGATGCCGTGCAAGAGACCACTGCTGGTGCAGAAGTACGTAAGCTGCCTGCGAATGATGCACTTCTCCTGGTGGTGTGATTTTAGCCTGGTCCCAGATCTGTTTGTGTTGTCTTGCCCATCTCATGACCATAGGGGTTTGTCAAGACTGCACAAACATATCTGAGACCAGCCAGTCTAGTGTGATTGGATCATGATGACAACATACCATCATTTCAGGATTGTCTCTGAGTCTGAATGTAGTGTGTGTTATCTCTCAGGTATCTCCACAAGCCCTACCTCATCAGTGGGAATAAGTTTGACCTGCGTATCTATGTGTACGTGTCATCTTACGACCCGCTCCGGGTTTACATCTTCCAAGACGGACTTGTCCGCTTCGCCAGCTGCAAGTAAGTCATTTGTTTTAATAAGTCACCTGTTACCTGTTTCATTAAGTCACCTGTTACCTGTTGTATTCAGTCACCTGTTACCTGTTTCATTAAGGCACCTGTTACCTGTTTTATTCAGTCACCTGTTACCTGTTGTATTCAGTGACCTGTTACCTGTTTCATTAAGGCACCTGTTTTATTCAGTCACCTGTTACCTGTTTCATTAAGGCACCTGTTTTATTCAGTCACCTGTTACCTATTGTGTTCAGTCACCTGTTGTGTTCAGTCACCTGTTGTGTTCAGTCACCCGTTGTGTTCAGTCACCCGTTGTGTTCAGTCACCCGTTGTGTTCAGTCACCCGTTTCAGTTATATATCTCCGTTTTTGAAAGATTTCCTTGAAGCCTGCAGGTATAAGGCTTTATAGCATGTTATGAGCTTTTATAATGGCTTTATACTGTGTGTCTCTGGCAAATTTTTCTCATATATTCATTATAACGAGTGCTCACTGTGACAGGGGCTCACTGTGACAGGGGCTCACTGTGACAGGGGCTCACTGTGACAGGGGCTCACTGTGACAGGGGCTCACTGTGACAGGGGCTCACTGTGACAGGGGCTCACTGTGACAGGGGCTCACTGTGACAGGGGCTCACTGTGACAGGAGCTCACTGTGACAGGGGCTCACTGTGACCGGGGGCTCACTGTGACCGGGGGCTCACTGTGACCGGGGGCTCACTGTGACCGGGGGCTCACTGTGTTTGTTTTCCTCTGTAGATATTCCTCTTCCATGAAAAGCCTTGGCAACAAGTTCATGCATCTGACCAACTACAGCGTGAACAAGAAGAACTCTGAGTATCAGAGCAACGACAGTGACAAGGCCTGCCAGGGGCACAAGTGGTAAAGATGTTTTAATGGATATTACAAACTGGGAGGTTCCAGCCATGAATGCTGATTGGCTGACAGCCGTGGTATATCAGAACGTATACCACGGGTATGACAAAACATTTATTTGTACTGTTCTGATTACGTTCTTAACCAGTTTTATAATAGCAATAAGGCACCTTGGGGGTTTGTGGTATATGGTCAATATACCACGGCTAAGGGCTGTATCCAGGAACTCCGCCATGTGTCGTGCCTAAGAACGTCCCATAGCCGTGGTATATTGGCCATATACCACAAACCCCCAAGGTGCCTTATTGCTTAAATATATGCCATTTGGCAGACTCTTTTGTCCAAAGAGGCTTACATTCATGTGTGCATACATACATGTCACTAGCACATAACAGGGTTTTCATTCTATCATTGGACCGCTGGACTAACGTGTGTGTGTGTGTGTCCGTGTGTGTGTCCGTGTCTCCGTGTCCGTGTGTGTGTCCGTGTGTGTGTGTCCGTGTGTGTCCGTGTGTGTCCGTGTGTGTCCGTGTGTGTGTGTCCGTGTGTCCGTGTGTGTCTGTGTGTGTGTGTCCGTGTGTCCGTGTGTGTCTGTGTGTGTGTGTCCGTGTGTCCGTGTGTGTGTGTCCGTGTGTGTGTGTGTCCGTGTGTCCGTGTGTGTGTGTGTGTGTGTGTGTGTGTGTGGCAGGGCTCTGAAGGCGTTGTGGCATTACCTGGGTTCTAGGGGGGTCAACACTACGCTGATCTGGGAGAAGATCAAGGACATCGTCATGAAGACCATCATTGCGTAAGTCAGAGTTAAATACATCCCTTATTATAGTATATCTATGGTGTAAGTCAGAGTTAAATAAAACAGTATATCTATGGTGTAAGTCAGAGTTAAATAAAACAGTATATCTATGGTGTAAGTCAGAGTTAAATAAAACAGTATATCTTTGGTGTAAGTCAGAGTTAAATAAAACAGTATATCTTTGGTGTAAGTCAGAGTTAAATAAAACAGTATATCTATGGTGTAAGTCTTTTTAATGTCCCAGAATAAGTAGGTGTTGCCCAATGACTGTAAAAAGAATGGACAAAGCATCGATCAGGTGACACCATTCATTCCTATGTGAAGACTCAATAGAAGCCAGATGAAGACTGATGGCGTCACATGGAGACATAACATGCACAGTTTGAGCCACTCCAGGAAGTGACATTGAAGGCTAGCTCAGTGCTGTCATTGTATACAGTCTGTTCCTAAATTTGAGCCACACAAAAGTACGAATGACTACACTACATGACCAAAAGTATGTGGACACCTGCACGTCGAACATCTCATTCCAAAATCATGGGCATTATTATGGAGTTGGTCCCCCCTTTGCTGCTATAACAGCCTCCACTCTTCTGGGAAGGCTTTCCACTAGATGTTGGAACATTGCTGCGGGGACTTGCTTCCATTCAGCCACAAGAGCATTAGTGAGGTCGGACACTGATGTTGGGCGATTAGGCCTGGCTCGCAGTCGGTGTTCCAATTCATCCCAAAGGTGCTCGATGGGGTTGAGGTCAGGGCTCTGTGCAGGCCAGTCAAGTTCTTCCACACCGACCTCGACAACCCATTTCTGTATGGACCTCGCTTTGTGCACGGGGGCATTGTCATGCTGAAACAGGAAAGGGCCTTCCCCAAACTGTTGCCACAAAGTTGGAAGCACAGAATTGTCTAGAACAGGGGTGTCAAACTCATTTTAGCTCAGGGGCCACATGGAGGAAAATCTATTCCCAAGTGGGCCGGACCGGAAAAATCATGGTATATATAACTTAAAAACAACAACTTCAGATACGATCAACATACAACATAAAGCTGGAGCCTGAGGACAGTGTGTCCAAAATAGTACAAGCACAACATCACTATTAATCATAAAACACGTCAAGTTTATTTGAAAATTCTAAAGAAAAAGAACACACAAACACACAATGCCTCAGTGATTAACAGAACTGTTTCACAGATCACAGAACTATATCAGGGTGTCATTTCTCAGGCAAATGTAGATAAAAATAATGAAATCCTGTTCCCCAAACAAGTGCAAGAACCACAGAGTCAAGAATAGGTTAAATATACAAATAAAATAAAAACAATTAAAAACAATAGCACATCAACATAAAAACATATAAACATAAAGCTGGAGCCTGAGGACAGTGTCCAAAAGCACAACATTACTATTAATCATAAAACACCTCAAGTTATTTGAAAGTTCTGAGGACAAAGAACACACAAACACACAATGCCTCAGTGATTCACAGAAGTATATCACAGATCACAGAACTATATCAGGGTGTCATTTCTCAGGCAGAAATGTAGATAAAAATAATGAAATCCTGTTCCCCAAACAAGTGCAAGAACCACAGAGTCAAGAATAGGTTAAATATACAAATAAAATCAATTAAAAACAATAGCACATCAACATAAAAACATATAAACATAAATCTGAAAGCGTTGCTCAAACTCCCGTAACAGTCCCGTTATTTTATCTTTGAACCGCTTCATGTCTGCCACATGTTGGGTCGCGCACACATTTTTCAGACAGGGGAAGTGAGCTGCATCACCACCGGCAAGTTGCGTCTCCCACAATGACAGCTTCAACTTGAAAGAACGTATGCTGTCATAATACTGCGTGACAACTTTGTTGCGCCCTTGCAGCTGTTTGTTCAAGTTATTCAGGTGCTCTGTAACATCCACCATAAATGCAAGGTCCTGCATCCATTCTGCGGAATGAAATTCTAACACTGGTTTGCCCTTTTCTTCCATGAACTGTTCAATTTCTTCTCGTAAATCAAAGAAACGCCTCAGCACAGCACCTCGGCTTAACCATCTTACCTCAGTGTGGTATGGCAGGCCATAGATGTGGTCTTTCTCTCTGAGAAGGCTGTCAAACTGGCGGTGATTCAGGCTTCTGGATCGGATGAAATTAACAGTTTGGATGACCACCTTCATGACGTTATCCATCTTTAATGACTTGCAACACAAAGCCTCCTGGTGCAAAATACAGTGAAAAGTCAAAAAATCACGTCCTCCATTTGCAGATTGCACTTTCTTTCTGAACTTTGTCACAACGCCTGCTTTTTTCCCGATCATTGAGGGCGCACCATCTGTAGCCAGGCTGACAGTGCGGGACCAGTCCACTCCGACCCTGTCCAGCGCGCCGACGAGTGCGGTAAAAATATCAGCTGCTGTCGTTGTATCTGTCATCGGCACCAACTCCACGAACTCCTCGGTGACGGTCAATGTGTCATCAACTCCGCGGATGAAAATGGCCAGTTGTGCAACATCTGTAATGTCCGTGCTTTCATCAATTGCAACCGAAAACGCAATAAATGACTTTATTTTTTGCTTCAACTGGCGTCAAAAATCCACTGAAAGTTCGGAAATCCTGTCTGCAACAGTGTTTCTTGTCAGGCTGATATTTGCAAAAGGCTGCCGCTTTTCAGGGCACACAATCTCCGCTGCCTTCATCATGCATGTTTTTACAAATTCACCCTCACTAAATGGTTTTGAAGCCACTGCGATTTCATTAGCAATGAGGTAGCTAGCTTTCACTGCAGCGTCACTGATGTCTCGGCTGTGAGTAAACACAGACTGCTGTTTCTTCAGACCCGCCAACAGTTCATTCACCTTCTCTCATCTCCGCTGTCCTTGAAAGTTGTCATATTTGTCGGCATGAAGACTCACATAGTGGCGACGAAGGTTATATTCTTTCAGCACTGCAACATGCTCTGAACACACCAAACATACAGCTTTCCCATTCAATTCCGTGAAGAAATAGGATGACCATTTTTCTTGGAACACTCTGCACTCTGCGTCCACTTTTCTCTTTTTTGACAGAGACATATTGGGGCAATGAGGGTGCCAAAGCACACAGTGTTAAAAGTAGAAGCCGTAATAAATATCGCGGGCAAAACAAAGTAGCTCATTGGCTGCACGTGCTTGACCTACTTGCTCTGCCCCGGTATAAACAGTTTGCTTGCTTAACACAATTGCTATTGTGCCATCCAGTGGACGCAATTGGAACAGCAGCTTATTTTATTGAAAAATTGCAGCGCATTTTTATACTTTACAAAAGTATTATTATTATTAGTATTATTTATTTTTTTCAAAATCATCTCGTGGGCCGGATTAAACCCGTTTACGGGCCTGATCCGGCCCGCGGGCCGGACGTTTGACACCCCTGGTCTAGAATGTCATTGTATGCTGTAGCGTTAAGATTTCCCTTCACTGGAACTAACGGGCCTAGCCCGAACCATTATTCCTCCTCCACCAAACTTTACAGTTGGCACTATGCATTTGGGCAGGTAGCGTTCTCCTGGCATCCGCCAAACTCAGATTCATCCATCGGACTGCCAGATGGTGAAGCGTGATTCATCACTCCAGAGAACGTGTTTCCACTGTTCCAGAGTCCAATGGTGGGCTTTACACCACTCCAGCCATGCTTGTCATTGAGCATGGTGATCTTAGACTTGTGTGTGGCTAATCGGCCATGGAAACCCATTTAATAAAGCTCCTGACGGTCCGTTATTGTGCTGACGTTGCTTCCAGAGGCAGTTTGGAACTCTGTAGTGAGTGTTGCAACCGAGGACAGATTATTTTTCCGTGCTTCAGCACTTGACGGTCCCGTTCCGTGAGCTTTTGTGGCCTACCACTTCACGGCTGAGCCGTTGTTGCTCCTAGACTTTTCCACTTCACAATAACAGCACTTATAGTTGACCAGGGCAGCTCTAGCAGGGCAGAAATTTGACAAACTGACTTGTTGGAAAGGTGGCATCCTATGACTATGAACTGACTAGTTGGAAAGGTGGCATCCTATGACTATGAACTGACTAGTTGGAAAGGTGACAGGATGTGTGCTCGATTTTATACACCTGTCAGCTCCTCCAAAAACAATTGTTCTCAATAAGTGATCTCACCCTGTCTAAATGGGATCTCACACCGTCTCACACCGTCTAAAAGGGATCTCACCCTCTCTAAAAGGGATCTCACCCTCTCTAAAAGGGATCTCACCCTCTCTAAAAGGGATCTCACCCTGTCTAAAAGGGATCTCACCCTGTCTAAAAGTGCCCTCACCCTGTCTAAAAGTGCCCTCACCCTGTCTAAAAGGGACCTCGCCCTGTCTAAAAGTGACCTTGCCCTGTCTAAAAGGGACCTCGCCCTGTCTAAAAGGGACCTCGCCCTGTCTAAAAGTGACCTTGCCCTGTCTAAAAGTGCCCTCACCCTGTCTAAAAGTGCCCTCACCCTGTCTAAAAGTGCCCTCACCCTGTCTAAAAGGGACCTCACCCTGTCTAAAAGTGACCTTGCCCTGTCTAAAAGGGACCTCGCCCTGTCTAAAAGGGACCTCGCCCTGTCTAAAAGTGACCTTGCCCTGTCTAAAAGGGATCTCACCCTGTCTAAAAGTGACCTTGCCCTGTCTAAAAGGGACCTCGCCCTGTCTAAAAGGGACCTCGCCCTGTCTAAAAGTGACCTTGCCCTGTCTAAAAGTGACCTTGCCCTGTCTAAAAGGGACCTCGCCCTGTCTAAAAGGGACCTCGCCCTGTCTAAAAGGGATCTCGCACTGTCTAAAAGGGATCTCGCACTGTCTAATAGGGATCTCGCACTGTCTAAAAGGGATCTTGCACTGTCTAAAAGGGATCTCGCACTGTCTAAAAAGGGATCTCGCACTGTCTAAAAGGGATCTCGCACTGTCTAAAAGGGATCTCGCACTGTCTAAAAGGGATCTCGCACTGTCTAAAAGGGATCTCGCACTGTCTAAAAGGGATCTCGCACTGTCTAAAAGGGATCTCGCACTGTCTAAAAGGGATCTCGCACTGTCTAAAAGGGATCTCGCACGTCTAAAAGGGATCTCGCACTGTCTAAAAGGGATCTCGCACCGTCTAAAAGGGATCTCACACCGTCTAAAAGGGATCTCACACTGTCTCGCACCACCAATCCCAATCAAAAAAGAGGTTCAGGTATGCAGCAGGGGGTTAGGGTTGGGGGATGCACTGTCTGTTTCAATAAGCTAGAATCGGCTGTCACTCTTATTTTGGCTTCTAAATCAATGATTTGTTTGCAAGGAGGGACTTTTCAGACGGAAGAAGATTTCAGGTGGATGGTCATGTGACAGGGAGCAGTCCTTTAACTCCAGTTGAAGGCTGACTGATCCATAGAACTTGTTCTGTCTACCGTTTTAAAACAAGGACTGGTGTATTAGAAGTAGGGCTGTCAAACTATTTCAGTAATTAATCGAGTTAATGACATTAGTTAATTGCGATTTAATAAGAAATTGCTCAAATTTGACCCTAAAGAATTTAATTTCCCATTTTTAAAAGCAGTGTATTAAGTTAGAGGCACACTATGCTTTGGTTTTAAGGGACCGAAACACAATGATCAGAATGTTTTAACATTTTCACCATAAACAACACAGTCCCTGTTCAATTCAGCTATTAATGCTCCCAGTGTTTCAGCCTGCTCTCTCTATCAATGTTCACACACACACACACACACACAGCTTTAAGTACTCTTAAAGCTTCAGTCATTCTAAATTAGTGTGACTATAGGAAAAAATAACTGCCTCTCTGGATACAAAGAACAGAGCTTTTAAACTTGTCCAACAATGTTCTGAAAACACTGTAACCATCTGTACTGTTCAGATAACTTTACACACACAGCCCTCCACACTGACTCCCTCCCACACCCTCCCACCCGCTCTCACGCATCCCTTTTTCACACGCACAGTCATCCACAGCCCACTCTCGCGTATGCAGCCTACCTTTTTCACACGCACAATCATCCACAGCCCACTCTCGCGTATGCAGCCTACCTTTTTCACACGCACAATCATCCACAGCCCACTCTCGCGTATGCAGCCTACCTTTTTCACACGCACAGTCATCCACAGCCCACTCTCGCGTATGCAGCCTACCTTTTTCACACGCACAATCATCCACAGCCCACTCTCGCGTATGCAGCCTACCTTTTTCACACGCACAATCATCCACAGCCCACTCTCGCGTATGCAGCCTACCTTTTTCACACGCACAATCATCCACAGCCCACTCTCGCGTATGCAGCCTACCTTTTTCACACGCACAGTCATCCACAGCCCACTCTCGCGTATGCAGCCTACCTTTTTGAAGCATCTCTTTGAGTAACCTTCTGTGTGCATAGCCCAGTGAGTGGGTCAAGTTATCAGGTTGCTAGCTAGCTGGGTAGGTAACGTGACTAGCTAGCTGGGTAGGTAACGTGACTAGCTAGCTGGGTGGGTAACGTGACTAGCTAGCTGGGTAGGTAACGTGACTAGCTAGCTGGGTAGGTAACGTGACTAGCTAGCTGGGTAGGTAACGTGACTAGCTAGCTAAACAATGTTTGTTATCAAACCAAAAAAGAATGACAAGCGACGTGCACGAATCTGCAGCAGAAAGAAAAATCAGCTCCGGTAATATTGGTCTTAACTTGAAGATGATTTTGGCTAGAGGCACCAGTTTGGAAGGGATGTAGCTAGAGGAGCCAGTTTGGAAGGGATGTAGCTAGAGGAGCCAGTTTGGAAGGGATGGAGCTAGAGGCGCCAGTTTGGAAGGGATGTAGCTAGAGGTGCCAGTTTGGAAGGGATGTAGCTAGAGGAGCCAGTTTGGAAGGGATGGAGCTAGAGGCGCCAGTTTGGAAGGGATGTAGCTAGAGGCACCAGTTTGGAAGGGATGTAGCTAGAGGAGCCAGTTTGGAAGGGATGTGGCTAGAGGAGCCAGTTTGGAAGGGATGTAGCTAGAGGCACCAGTTTGGAAGGGATGTAGCTAGAGGAGCCAGTTTGGAAGGGATGTGGCTAGAGGAGCCAGTTTGGAAGGGATGTAGCTAGAGGCACCAGTTTGGAAGGGATGGAGCTAGAGGCACCAGTTTGGAAGGGATGTAGCTAGAGGCGCCAGTTTGGAAGGGATGTAGCTAGAGGAGCCAGTTTGGAAGGGATGGAGCTAGAGGTGCCAGTTTGGAAGGGATGTAGCTAGAGGAGCCAGTTTGGAAGGGATGTAGCTAGAGGTGCCAGTTTGGAAGGGATGTAGCTAGAGGTGCCAGTTTGGAAGGGATGGAGCTAGAGGAGCCAGTTTGGAAGGGATGTAGCTAGAGGCACCAGTTTGGAAGGGATGTAGCTAGAGGAGCCAGTTTGGAAGGGATGTGGCTAGAGGAGCCAGTTTGGAAGGGATGTAGCTAGAGGTGCCAGTTTGGAAGGGATGGAGCTAGAGGCACCAGTTTGGAAGGGATGTAGCTAGAGGAGCCAGTTTGGAAGGGATGTAGCTAGAGGCACCAGTTTGGAAGGGATGTAGCTAGAGGAGCCAGTTTGGAAGGGATGTAGCTAGAGGCACCAGTTTGGAAGGGATGGTTTGGAAGGGATGGTTTGGAAGGGATGGAGCTAGAGGAGCCAGTTTGGAAGGGATGGAGCTAGAGGCACCAGTTTGGAAGGGATGTAGCTAGAGGAGCCAGTTTGGAAGGGATGTAGCTAGAGGAGCCAGTTTGGAAGGGATGTAGCTAGAGGAGCCAGTTTGGAAGGGATGTAGCTAGAGGTGCCAGTTTGGAAGGGATGTAGCTAGAGGAGCCAGTTTGGAAGGGATGGAGCTAGAGGAGCCAGTTTGGAAGGGATGTAGCTAGAGGAGCCAGTTTGGAAGGGATGGAGCTAGAGGAGCCAGTTTGGAAGGGATGTAGCTAGAGGCACCAGTTTGGAAGGGATGTAGCTAGAGGAGCCAGTTTGGAAGGGATGGAGCTAGAGGCACCAGTTTGGAAGGGATGTAGCTAGAGGTGCCAGTTTGGAAGGGATGTAGCTAGAGGTGCCAGTTTGGAAGGGATGGAGCTAGAGGAGCCAGTTTGGAAGGGATGTAGCTAGAGGCACCAGTTTGGAAGGGATGTAGCTAGAGGCGCCAGTTTGGAAGGGATGTAGCTAGAGGAGCCAGTTTGGAAGGGATGTAGCTAGAGGTGCCAGTTTGGAAGGGATGTAGCTAGAGGTGCCAGTTTGGAAGGGATGTGGCTAGAGGAGCCAGTTTGGAAGGGATGTAGCTAGAGGTGCCAGTTTGGAAGGGATGTGGCTAGAGGTGCCAGTTTGGAAGGGATGTAGCTAGAGGAGCCAGTTTGGAAGGGATGTAGCTAGAGGCACCAGTTTGGAAGGGATGTAGCTAGAGGAGCCAGTTTGGAAGGGATGTAGCTAGAGGCGCCAGTTTGGAAGGGATGTAGCTAGAGGAGCCAGTTTGGAAGGGATGGAGCTAGAGGAGCCAGTTTGGAAGGGATGTAGCTAGAGGCACCAGTTTGGAAGGGATGTAGCTAGAGGTGCCAGTTTGGAAGGGATGTAGCTAGAGGAGCCAGTTTGGAAGGGATGGAGCTAGAGGAGCCAGTTTGGAAGGGATGTAGCTAGAGGAGCCAGTTTGGAAGGGATGTAGCTAGAGGAGCCAGTTTGGAAGGGATGTAGCTAGAGGAGCCAGTTTGGAAGGGATGTAGCTAGAGGAGCCAGTTTGGAAGGGATGTAGCTAGAGGTGCCAGTTTGGAAGGGATGGAGCTAGAGGAGCCAGTTTGGAAGGGATGGAGCTAGAGGAGCCAGTTTGGAAGGGATGGAGCTAGAGGAGCCAGTTTGGAAGGGATGTAGCTAGAGGCACCAGTTTGGAAGGGATGTAGCTAGAGGAGCCAGTTTGGAAGGGATGGAGCTAGAGGCACCAGTTTGGAAGGGATGTAGCTAGAGGTGCCAGTTTGGAAGGGATGTAGCTAGAGGTGCCAGTTTGGAAGGGATGGAGCTAGAGGAGCCAGTTTGGAAGGGATGTAGCTAGAGGCACCAGTTTGGAAGGGATGTAGCTAGAGGCGCCAGTTTGGAAGGGATGTAGCTAGAGGAGCCAGTTTGGAAGGGATGTAGCTAGAGGAGCCAGTTTGGAAGGGATGTAGCTAGAGGCACCAGTTTGGAAGGGATGTAGCTAGAGGCGCCAGTTTGGAAGGGATGTAGCTAGAGGTGCCAGTTTGGAAGGGATGGAGCTAGAGGAGCCAGTTTGGAAGGGATGTAGCTAGAGGCACCAGTTTGGAAGGGATGTAGCTAGAGGTGCCAGTTTGGAAGGGATGTAGCTAGAGGAGCCAGTTTGGAAGGGATGGAGCTAGAGGAGCCAGTTTGGAAGGGATGTAGCTAGAGGAGCCAGTTTGGAAGGGATGTAGCTAGAGGAGCCAGTTTGGAAGGGATGTAGCTAGAGGAGCCAGTTTGGAAGGGATGTAGCTAGAGGAGCCAGTTTGGAAGGGATGTAGCTAGAGGAGCCAGTTTGGAAGGGATGTAGCTAGAGGTGCAAGCATTTATACTGAACAAAAATATAAACGCAACATGCAACAATTTCAACAATTTTACTGAGTTACAGTTCAGATAATGAAATCAGTCAATTGAAATAAATAAATTAGGCCCAGATCTATGGATTTCACATGACCGGTCAGGGGCGCAGCCATGGGTGGGTCTGGGAGGGCATAGGGCCCACCCACTGGGGAGCCTGGCCCAGCCAATCAGAATGAGTTTTTCCCCACAAAAGGGCTTTATTACAGACAGAAATACTCCTCGGTTTCATCAGCTGTCCAGGTGGCTGGTCTCAGATGATCCCGCAGGTGAAGAAGCCGGATGTGGCGGTCCTGGGCTGGCGTGGTGACACGTGGTCTGGGGAGGTCCTGGGCTGGCGTGGTGACACGTGGTCTGAG